TCGACAAGGTCTTGACGTATATACCACGGGGAATAAAAAGCTCTACTCGTTATAGAGAGTATAATTTTCGCGTGGAGACCATAAACTTGTTGGAGGGACTGTTGTAGAAGACTCTTGTTCTGGTCCCTTGTGCGATGCACAAGGTTTGCCTTCTAAGCGCTGCGTCTGTATCGCGACGGATGCAGTTTGTCTTCGACACGTCCACCTTGAACCGCTTTTTTACGATCACCTCGCATGATGCGAGTCGCATCGGCTGACGGCCTATTTCGTGCATGACGCAGCAACTTTCTCTATCGTGAGATCACTTTCTCTATCGTGAGTAGTTCGATTCGATTTCTTGTGGGAGACTTGACAATGTAAGAGGAGGCAAATCTCCTATAGAATCTCGTACAAGTCTTGCCGAATCGGCAATGCCGATTTCTTCCCATGTCTGATGCATTGGTAAAGCGCCGTCTGAGCTAGTCCGCACCAGTGCTGAACGATTGAAGCGTTACGCTTCTACCAGATTGATTTCAACCGGGAGCTGACAAAACTCACCTTGCCCAAAGTCATCTGTAGTAGTTGTAGCAGACGGCTCGCTAACGAACAAGCAAGATCCCAAGGATGAGAGCCAACGGCACTTTGTCGATGCTCTCTCTATGGTCAACACAGACTACGTGGCTACCCGAGAGACGAAGATCTGTTCTGAGAGTAAGCGCTGCCGGGTATGTCAAGTAGCATCTTTTCGTTCACCGAACCAACTCCTGCGCTTCCAGTCGAGTACTCCTGGCCCTGGGAGGCCTATCGAGCAGCCCCCTGTGCGATATATATACACTAAATGTGGTGCGGACTTGCTTGACCACCACGAAAAGGTATGCGCGGCCGCATCGCTTCAGCGGTTAAGCTGGGGAGCGGTGATGTTCATATAAGTTATATGATATAACCCAGCGGTGATGTAACAGAAAGCCCACATCCTCTCGGAATCCGAGACGTAAACTATGCAGCGGAATATTTGGAAAAATAGGGGTCGGTCATAGGAGCAGAATCTGCTCAGCAGATCTCGGACTTTCGTCTGAGCAGTCTGGCGGATATCTTTACTTCAGGGTGCAGCGTCTATGGGGCTTGCGGTTCGAGGTTGATCCCACGAACAGTAGGTTCGCGAGCCGCTTCGTGGGTTGCATAGTGATCTACAATTGGAACCTTGGCTGGGATGGTGTAGCTCGGGCTACTCCCCTGGTGTCGATACCGTACTCTGCAGTGACTGAGAAGCATCTGTTCGGCGCTCCTGTTCCGCTGCAAAGGAGGACGGGTGATCGTTAGGTGAGCTCGACTCCGGCGAGGGATCCGATGCTAACCATTGGAGCCATTCCGAGAATGTTGTGTTGTAATTCTGAATTACTAATTCATGTTCGTTGGGTGTATCGGATAATACTTGAGCTGCTGCCAATAAGGTCGGTGGGGATACCAACAGTAATCCTCAAAAGAGTCCATGACCGCTTTTAAATGTGAAAGATCGTTTGACACGTATACACCTGACGTGAACCACGCTAGCATGGCTCACGTCAGGTGTATATGTGTGCTAGTAGCATGTGCAAGTAGTATGTGTGCTGCTAGTGCTAGTAGCGCTCCCGCGCCCGCCACATACTGTCTATCTCGCACAGGTAGGGTCGCACAGTTGGACAGCAACGACCCGAAAGGTGTCGATTTAAACATAACGAACAATGGATATAGTACAGCTAGCAAACTGGGCAACAGGAGCGGGCAGGTCCTCCTACCACACTTTCGCAAGACGTGTCGGTTTCTATTCCCACACAGAGCAAGCTTATTTCTCGCGAAATAGGAATTGTTTTCCATAGTATTCAGATATCATCCTATTACTCGTTGTGATCTACACCTCACACGGCTCCTGTTTGGATTTATAAAAGACGTCTTCCCGGGGACCGACTTGGATGAACTTTGCGCTGGTTAGTACCCGCGTCAATACGCAATTCAGAGTGTGTTAGAGGATCTTGTTTATGACAGTATAATCTGAGTTTTATAAATGCCTCGACGTCCACTGCTAGTATTAGAAGACGCAGCTGTGGACCAGACGATATCGGGGACGTGGAGCATGTACCGTGTACATTGGCGCGGGTTCGATCCGAGCAGTCTGCTATTTTCGTCAGTGCTGATGACGGTACACTGTGTCATAAGCAGACTGGCATATCAATAGGCCAGAAAGGTCTCAAGGATGGCCACAGGGAGTTCAGTATCGATCCGGAGGATATTGAGGTGAGCTCAAATGTATTCGGAATAAGGAATTTCTATTACCGTACACGGAGGCCGAGTAATGTGTGAAACTCATTCGCAAAAATGTGGGTATTCAGTGGGAAAATTGAGCAACTCAGAATCCATTTTGAATTTGTGTTCCTCCGAAAATCACTTTATCGTACTTCCATGCAAGTTGCTGCCATCGCCGTTCCCTGGTAGTGAATTTCTCTCTTCCTGCCGGCTTCGTTTTGACCGGTTCGAAGTCCAGCCTCGCACGGATGAGTTATGGAACTTCGTAGCTGTTGGTGTGCTCACTGCTCTCAAGTTCGGGTTGATTATTACGGAGTCATTGTATCAGTGCAATTATAGTGGAGTAGTATAGCTCGCTCCTGTGGGTGTTGAGCTGATGCGAAGAATTTCCCTTCGTGATGAAACTCTTGGGATGGGAAATCGGCATTGGAATTGATTAACAAAGAATTGAAATTAGTGCGGTATGTGCATTG